AACTAGTAATTCTGAAACAAAAGATTACTTTAATTCATATGCAAAAAATGGTCTGTACAGCAATTCAAATTTTTTTTGGGTTACCTTCTTAAATTTGCTCTAAATTTTATAAATTAATTATAGATATTCATGAAGAAATGTTAAAAGATCGAATTCAGACAGAGAGTTATCGTGATTTTATCTACGAAAATAAAGATCTTTTCAAGGACAAGGTTGTGTTAGATGTCGGATGTGGTAAGTATGGTACTACTTCTAATTCTTAATTTTATATTTATTAATTAATTACTTTACCTAGGCACTGGCATTCTGCCAATGTTTGCCGCCAAAGCTGGTGCATCTAAAGGTTATTAATTTTTTTCTAATTAAGCCATATTTTGATTAGAATTTTATTATTGACACTTCATGTATACCATTTTTTAGAGCAAAAGATATTGTAAAAGAAAATAAATTAGATGATGTGATCACGTTTGTACATCATCAAATATAGCTCAGTTTCAATTTTATGAAAGTTTTTTTATTAAAATATTGCTTATGAATTGTTAGCCTATTCGATGGCAAAATCGAAGATGTACAAAAAGTTGACATAATAATATCTGAATGGATGGGCTATTTTCTTTTTTTTGAAGGTATGCTTGATTCTTTGATTGTTGCGCGTGACCGGTTACTTGCTCCAGACGGAATTAGTAAGTTTTTTTTTTCATACCCATTATAATGCTACGTTATTAAATGTAACGAATAATAATTAATATTGCATATGGTTGTATTTAGTTGCGCCTAGCCATTGTCGTATTTTGTTTGCGGCTATTGAGGATGAAGAGATTTTTAACGATACTTTAAATTTTTGGAATGATGTCTATGGTACGATGTTACAATAATGAAATTATGTTTTACTTTTCCTATCATTTAATATTGTTTTATTCAGGGTTCAAAATGACGGCAATGAAACGTCCAATTCATGCGAGTGCTATTATAGATTATGTAGCACCAGATGCACTTATTTCCGATGCGGTTTCA